ATTGGAACACATCTTAATTGTTTAATGAGAAAAAAGGAAACTGAAACCATTTTTAATAAATGAACATAGCTTGGGTTCGTCACCCTCAGTCATATACAATATTTTTGGAAACAGGAAAAAGAAACAGAAAACATCATCGGTTTCCACTCAGGTGGAGAAATTGTTTGCCAAGACAAAGGTGCAAAGGTGCAGAAGCAGGAGCTGTCACTATAGAATCCATCTGGAACTGTTTGACTTTTGAACCATGCAGAGGTATGTTTGTTTAATTATTGAATTACAGTCTTGTCAGAAATAAAAACATATGAATGTACAACATAATAATCTGAGAAGCAATAGGAAGCTACTTCCGCTCATGGAATTAGAGGCTGCTGGCCTTTCTTCGATGCAGTGGGGCTTTCCAGGAAAGAGGATCATGAGTAAAGCTGGCCATGCTGCAGCCCCCAGAGCTTTCAGTAATGGACGAGAGTTTCAGGATGCAAGGACTGCTTCCTAAACAAGGATGCATACACCCACTGTATGCATACACGCACCAAACACAATGGAACTTCTAAGACAATCCTAATTTCGAACAATTTCCTTGTCTCTCTATGTACCCCAGCCTTTATTAGAAAAAGTGTCCTGAATTTTGTTCATGAAGTAATGGCACCCTTGTAATAATTCAAGAACCTGCCACCTAGAGTTGGGGAGCAGGGTGGGTTTAGGGGCACAAAACTAGATATGTTGTTAAGAATTGAAGTGTAGAGTAGAGCCTTTGTGCTGTGAATCTAAAAACCCACAAACCACTCTAAGAGGGTCACACAATTTGTATTGTCAAGTGTAATTTGAAGAAAACATGTATCTTTCGCCTACCGCTCAGATCCCTTTCATGGAATGTCTCCTCACCCCAACCTGCCCTCTGCCCCTCCCTCACTGTGGAAAGTCTTGAGTCCTACATTCTACTCCTGTTTAGATTCAAACGTTTCCCTCCTTTTCTTCGATCCCTGAGCATCTGTTGGAGGCAGATCATGCTCTGAGTCCAGGACATGACGATTTCACCTGTTGAAGGCTGCCAGATAGCTGTGGTCAGTGCCCAAGCCTGTGGAGATGGCTTCAAAAGGAGGTAAGCCTGGTGGGGAGGGTGTGTGTTATCAGATCCCTGCCACCCCTTCAACCCTCGGGAATTCAAATTTGTCACTTCCCCTGGGGACAAGCTCTCTGAGCAGGAGTAAGGAGTGAACCCTTGACACCACCCAGGACACACCACCTGGGGAAGCTGAAGAGGCAGATTGGGAAAATGAGACAGGAGGTTGGGGAAAGAAGGAGAGAGGTTGTATAATGTGCATCACGAAAAGGAAGGCTGAGGAGGAGATGGAGAAACCATTCTCTTGAAGACTCATTCCTTCAAGAAAGTCCAGAGGATGCCTTCCCCTTCAGAAGGTCCCTTTCCTGATAGTGAGCCTGCTGGAGGCATTTTAGACAGAGTGGATGTCAGCTCTGTTCCATGTGTTGGAAACAGCTTATGAGAGTGGCAGGTTGTCTGCCTAGGATTCCTGAGACAGCCTCTGAGAGTCAGTGATAGCGAAGGCCTTTTCTTGGTATACAGAAGCCTGGGAGTCTGGTTGAACTGCTCACAAGTTCTCTAGTGGGAAACTTCTCAGCCGGAGTGAAGGAACATCTAATTCATTCCAGGGACTTTTGCAGTCTTCACCAGTTCCCTGTTCCATATTCCTGCTCATCAGTTGAGATTCTTCACACTGATTCCCAGTGACCATGCAAGGAATTCAGATGACCTAACACTTGGTCGTCGTTCTCCTCCATTTGCCCTTTTCCTTTGTCTCAACAGCAACTCGAGTGCTGGGACTGGATATGACCATGAATCCTGGTGCCTCCATGTCTCCTTTCACTGCACTGCCCTTTCCCCCACCCGCTCCTGGACCCCTACACCAAACACCCTGGGAGCAGCACCTGCTGCCCCTCATGACTTCATCATGCCCCCATGGCATCCCTCTAGGGCTCTCTGCTTTTCCCAGGACACTACTGGTCCCAGGTGTTGGGGACTCTGGCCCCAGTGGGGCCAAGCCTGGCAAGGTCATTGTCCAAGTCAGGACAGAAGGGAGATCAGCAGAGCTCCCTGGAACTCAGACCAGTGTCATGGCACACACCCCACTCAATTGGAGTGCCCCGGGGGCTCCCGGTGGGGCAGTTGAGCATGCTCCACCCCCATTTGGGGAAGCCTCTGCTGTGCAGCAAATGATCCCTGCCACTTCTGTTGTGGGTACTCAGGCTTGTAGGGAAGGTTGGTCCCCAGTTCTTTCTCTTCAAGCTCCACCACTGGCTGCCCAGTTGGTCTCCATTTTCCTGCAAGTGAAGGCTTGGTCAGGCTAACATGCTTCTTCTGGGAAGGAGAGCCTGGCTACCATACAATCCAGGCCTTCACTGGATGACTCCTCCTGTAACCCCAGGAGTGTTTACGAGAACTACCAACGTTGGCAACGTTTCAAGTCCCTGACCTGGTGGCACCATCCCCAAAGTCCTGATACAGAAGCTCTTTCCTCCTTTCTCATGTGAGTGCCCTAGTCAGTGGGGACAACTCAGATTATCCTGCAGCTTTCAAATAGATCTTGGGGAGACACAATGGAGGTTGGGCTCTTTAGGAACACTTGACAGAAGGTCATGAGGGCGATGGGATATGTTATGAGAAGACACATTCCCAATAATATTAACCATACCACCCCATGTATAACACTTTCAGGTGCCTTATCACAGTTGATGCTGACCACCTTGTACATGAAGCCAATATTTATCTTGCAATCATTAACCTAATAATTATTTACAGGACACTAAACACTGTGGTAAAGTGTGGAGCCATTATGTGAATTTTGGTGTTAGACTACAAACACCACGTTCCTTCACTGATCTTTACCTTCTAACATAGGGGTTCACCATATGTTGGCCAGTGCCATATCAAATCCAGAGGAGGGGGGAAACAGGCAAAGCCTAGGACAACCATTTTACATATATGCCCACCCTTACTCCTCTGGAGAATTCCAGTGAGAACAGGGAGGTGGTAGAGTATGCATAGTGGTGAAGGGCTTGGGCTCTGCCCTCACTAGATTTGTAGTAATCCGGAGCAGGGCATTGTGCATCTTCACCCTGGAGTATATCATCAAATAAGGAGACAATTACAATTAGTTCAGAGGATAGCTAAGAAGATGACATGAGCTAATATATGAAGTGCTTGGAGAGTTGCTGACACATGCTGTGCCTCATTATGTGATGTCCATTATTGTTAGTGTCGTGAAGGAAAGGCAAGGTAGTCCAAGAAAAGTACCCACAAAAGCGAAAATGCCCTAGCTACAGTGTGTGTGAGTGGAAATTGGCCATGAAGTCCAAGGTCATGGGCATCTGTGAGTGGAAGGCAGAGTGATTAGTCATGTGGGAAGCTTTGTCTTTTCACAACAGATCCTACACCTCTCTTAACCCTGTGCTTCCTCACAGGTATTATCTATCAACCAATATCAATCTATTATCACATTCCATGGGATGTTTTTCCACATACATGTTGCTACAATTGGCTGAAAGACTGAAGGAATCTTTCTCCCCTCCAGCCCCCCCTTACTGTCCCAGGAATAAAGAGAAAATCCACCAAATCCAATTTTCAAGCAGTCTTAGGGATTCCCGGCATTCCAAAACAGCTGTGTTTTCTGTTTGATCACAGTCTCAAATGCAGTTGGGCAGTGTGATTTTGGAAACTCCAGACAGCACAGGTCTCTCTCAGTTACCATGGGCTGCCTTTACCTTTGCTTCTAGTCAGAAATCTTGCTCTTCACACTCTGAGGCTCTAGGGCTGTGTTCACCAAAGTGCAGAACCTCCATTCCAGAGTCATCTGGGACCTGGTGAAAATGTTCATTCATGAGACCCTTGGACTTGATCTTAGAGTCTGCATTTTAAGGTGCTCTGGCAGGTCATTCTGTCCACAATCCTACTGAGGACTCAAAGCACATCCTTTTTGTCACACTGTCCCTCCTAGGAGTGTATCTTAGTGTAGCTCTCATGCTCTGCAAGTGGTATCCTGGAGGCAAAAGCACTTGAAATCTAAAAAACTGGAAGGGGGATTTGACACAGACAAATAGCAAGATAGATGTAATGATGGGCAAAGGATGTGTGTTGGGGTAGATTCAAGATGGGGATGGAATATGTACTTGTAGAAAGTTACTGACATGCATGAGGTTTTAGCCCAGTCCTGCGATCCCTGGCCCAACTGAAGCCCACCATGACCCTGGAGGAGGGACTGTGGCGGTCCATGCAGGAATGGCAGCGCAAAAGCAACTTTGACTGGATGATCTTCTACGAAATGGCAGAAAAGTGAGTTCATGGCATCCTGGCACTGTTGGGACTGAACTATGAGGTATGAATGAAGAGGGTGGGTTGCAAGTGGCTGCTGTCTGGCTGTGTTGGTACAAATCGGAGGGGATGTTGTGAGGAGGAGGTGTGCACGTAGACAGGGCTCCTGGTTCCGATGATCCCTTTGTACCCTCAGACAGTTTCCACCAACACAGTCACTGCCTGGAGTTGTCTGTTCTACATTCTTGAAGAAATTCACCCCTTCTACATTTTGGATTTGTGGCTGCCTCGATATTGAGAGTGTTAAGATGGAATGGGGATAAACACTGTGGCTACCAATGGAGATAAATTCCAAGCTGCAGACACTCTGCAGTGAGGGATACACTGCACCAGCTGGTTTCCTGCTTGCCTAAGTGTCTGGGTAGCTGACAGTGAATTTGGGACCACCCCTCCTCATGACAACTGGCACAAAATTGTTCTACAACCATCCAAGAATGGCCCAGCTTTTTCCAAGAACGACTGGAAAGCTTTGTTCAGGGAAAGGCAGCATCTCAAGTCACCCTTTGGACATGTCTCTGACCCTCATTGCCTTTCCTCCCTTGCTTTAAAAAAACAAAAATCATCAGAGGAGTCTGAAACTTTCCTGAAACCATAGATTCCACCTTCTTCCCAATATCTATTGGACCACTTGTCTCCCTGGTTTATAGCTCAAGGGCTCAGAGCCTGAGCCTAGGACCTGGGATCTAGGAACTAGTCCCTCATGTTATCTGCAGTGAATTTCATCCCATCCCAGGTTCAGGCTGTCACATCTACTGTGTGTGTTTTAGACAAGGGCAGGAGAGGCTTGCAGTAGGGTGTCCATAAGTGGGGTTCTGCTGTGTGTCACACAGTTCTGATTGAACTAAAAAAACCAGTGTCTGTATTGTGTGCCATCAGGTGCTAAGAGTCTGGACAGGAAGTGAGCACCATGGCTCTGTCAGGAGGAACTTCCAAGAAGGCATGGCTCATTTCCTTCAAAACCTTCCTAAGTTATGATGAGTTGTGCTGCAGGTGAACAGATGATGTAGTGAACATGTAAGCGGCCTTCAAACCTTTTTTGTGCCACAGAGAGCAATGAGACTTACTCGGCATGTTGACAGGTCATTGAAGGCACACCTTTCTCTGCTGCCCCACAATTGGTTACTGCCTGGTGCTGGGGCTTCTGGTGCACTTTGCCTTCTTCTCAGCATGGTCTGTGCCTCCCTCACCCTTGTCAGGTTCATGGAGTTTTAGGCAGAGGAGGAGTTACAGATTCAGAAGTTGCAGCAGAGGAATGCATCAGTGTGCCTGCATCCGCCAGCTACATGGAATCTTGATCCTCACGGGCCTTCATCCTCTGTGGTTGGCCAGCACTCAGGTATGACTAACCAAGTTCAACAGGACCTAGGGCTCAGGGGTCAAAGGAGGTATGTAGAGACTGGCCATGTCTGGAGAAGGCATTGTCTTCACATTTACTTTCAAGAGGGGGCAATGGCTATTTCTATCAGTAGAGCCTGCCAGAAGCCTGGAGTCCCAGCTACTCTTCATTACACACTAGTAGTGAGATGATTAAGTTTTATAACTACCATCTCCCAATGGATTATCAAAGGTGGAATCCAATATCTAATCAGCCTAAAACGTGGGTCTCAATGAGAGGACTTCTTGAAAAAGCAATAGTTGTAAGTTTCCTTACATGATGACTCTCTTGGACCTTTAACCTCTTACATCTTGTCCTCTCACAGTTCTTGTGGCTTCAAGTGTGCCCACCCCACCAGGAACCATTTCAGTGTCTCCAAAATTCTACCCTTACAACATGTGGTTGGGCTGTGACTTAGTTATCTAGTGTTACTTAACAGAAATACCACAAGTGGATGGCTTTAAAAAAACAGAAATTTATTCTCTCACGGTCTAGGAGGCAAGAAGTCTGAAATCAGGGTACCAGCTCCTCAGGGAGGCTTTTTCTCTCTGTTGGTTCTAGGGGAAAGCCCTTGTCTTTAATATTCCCCAGACTAGAATCTTCTCACCACAGGGATCTCGAGACCAAAGGATGGGCTCCACTCCGGGTGCTTCTTTCTTGGTGACATAAAGTTCCTCTCCTCTCTGCTGGCTTCTCTCTTTTATATCTCAAAAGAGATTGACTCAAGATACAACCTAATCCTGTAGATTGACTCCTGAATCATTAACACAACTGCCTCTAATCCTGCCTCATTAACATCATGGAGGTTAGGATTTACAACACATAGGATAATCACATCAGATCAAAAAATGGAGGACAGCCACACAATACTGGGTATCATGGCCTAGCCAAGTGGACACACATTTTGTAGGGACACAATTCAATCCATAACAGATGGAAAGAGCTGGAATTTGCTGCCACATTCACCTCCTTTCCAACCCCTCCTATAGTGTTCATTCCAAAGAAGGGAGGTCCCAAGGCACAGCCCCCCAACCAGCATCAACACAGACCCCAGTGCCCTTGGGAGCCCAAGCGACCCAATGAGATCCCTCCTAAAGCCGTGAAAGAGTGTGTTGAAATCATGGAAGGTCTGCTTGGACCTGCCCACTCAGCCACTGGGGAGCCAGATGGAAAATATGAAGAAGAAAATGAGCAACAGCAGGAAGAGAATGGGATATACCCAGACTCAGGATTCTTTTGCTACATGGACAAGCCATGTTCACAGGAAGCATTTATTACCAAGGTGAGCTGAGACTTGAGGTTTGATGTCTGTGGGTTCTGTACTTTTGGCATTCAAGCAACCAAACAGCTGGTGTTTCACTCCAGATAACTGTAATTAAGCTCGATTCCTTACTCCCTGATCATTGCGTGTGTCCTTTTCTCATGAGTATGTGCGTGTGTGTGTGTGTGTGTGTGTGTGTGCATGTCTGCCTATGTGTAGGTTGGGGTGGTGGTGTTTTAATACAGCACTGGATGTAAATTGGAGAGGGGGATTATTGATTGTCTTCTAGGTACTCTAAATCCCTGGTAACTCCTTGTCAAGGATGTTCACATGCCGCCACCTTCCCTTATCAGGTGGAAGCAGTTATTCACCCTCAATTCCTGGAAATGGTACTATCACCAGAATCACAGGTAGATCCCATGTCCTTCACACAGGAGCTGGAGGAAGAGGAAGGACTCACTCCCACCCAGGTAAACCAGAGGAGGAAGGGAGAATCATAACATGAAACCCACAGGATTTCATCTAACGCAACAGTGCCTTGGCTGGCAGGGCTTCTGGGGAAGGACAGCTCCAGGTGTGGGAGCAGGTGCAGAACAAGGAGGTAAGAGACAATGGAGTGGCCAAGAGGAGCGGTAAGGAATCCTGGTTAGGAGAACCACACAAGAGGATGAACAGGTAGAGGTGCAGTACTGGGTACTGAACCACACTCATGTGACTGACTTCCCTGAATTCTGCCCCAATGGTCTCTACCACCCCCTCAGCCACGTGATCTCACAACCTGTGCAGAATCAGTAATTATCCATTTTCCTTCCTTGCAGCTGGTAGAGAAGCCACTGCTGGAACTGAAAGGAAAAGTGGGTGTGAAGGCATCCCCAACTTATGGTGTGCCACCCATGGAATCACTTTGTACAGAGTCTGGGACCAGTCAACATGCAGGGAGCACAGATAACCATGGTGTCCAATTAGGGATACGCAAGAAATTGAGCACAAAAAAGTTGAATGCAGATGACCTGCCAAAAGATGGTACAGGAGACAATATCTGTCTAAGTCAAAAGAACTTGCTCTCTTTTATGTGAAGTCCAAAGTCACAGAAACCTTAGTCTGAACAGTCAACGTCTCCTCAACAGGGTCCTAGTTACACTTCCCCTAGATTGGGAACCAGAGAAGAGTTAATGATCTTAGAAACCTCTCCTATTAGTGAAACACCTGGGAAAGGAGAAGAGTCAGTGAAGAAGAAGAGGAGGAACTTCCCAGCCTTGCCGTCCTCTTGGCGTCTCAACAAAGCCTACTGCCCTGGGGTCTTTCCAAGAGTCTTCTGCCTGCCTCTGGCATTCTGCAGCATGGAGTTCAGGGCACCTGGCCAGCATACCAGCCCATATCTCCTGGGACAGTGAGTCATAGCCAACCTGGACATAAAGCTGCCAAGTCTAAGATCCCAGCTCAAGTTAGAGCCCCATCACTTGCTGCCAAGTGGTCCTACTCAGGCGCTTCCCTTGGAGTTTCTGGGAAGCAACCCTTGGCTGTGGGTGAGGTCCAACCCTCACTGCCTCTAAAAAGGAAGTGTGACCATTCCACGCATGGGAAAAGGAAGAAGTGACATTTTAGCC